TCAACTAAAGAAAAAATGCGAAGCGAAAAAAACCTTTTGGCGGACAAAAAGATAAAAGTAACGAGATCCAAAAAATCTTCTTATTCTTAGTCGTCTTGGTGCTCATTGAATTATTAATGCCACGGGTCACCGGNTGGTGCTCATTGAATTATTAATGCCACGGGTCACCGGTATGGTCTGACACGTAAAGACCAGGCTTTTATTATACGTCTTTTAGTGGAACTATTTTATTACCATCAACTAGTGCAGAAAGGTGTTTTATGGCCGCAAAGCTCATTGAGTACACCGTCGCTCGGTCCGCAAATGAATAATAAGGGAACGACCACGGTGGGGCGGCTCTCGAGTCTTACCATCTTTAATTTAGAATAATATTTTGCTACATTCAATATTTTTTTTCATCTTACCACCGGGACTTACGACGCAGGAGCTAGTACTTCGCATGTACCTTATAATAAGGAGTTGTAATAAATACACAAACCGACCGACAGTACGATTACCCTTGGGAAACAGCGTGTTTAGCGAAGAATACCAACTCATTTCCGTTTTTACGGGGGTTAAAGTAAACAATAATTAGATGTTTATTGACCATTTAAAATAATAAAAAGAGTTCACTTTTTCACTGGTCATTTTGTAGTAAAATTTTAATCAAAGAATATTATTATTGATTGTGACTCGTACATCATCAATTTTAGATAAAATACATAATAAGTCGTTTCAATAAATACATCTCATGTTTGGACAAAACGTATGGGAATTTCAAATTTTATCATTTTAAAACCATTTTTCTCTTATTTATGAATTTTCAATCAGGCGTATTATGTATGCAATATAGGTACTCTAGTGCGTTCAACAAAGCATTAGAAGTATACATGAAATAACAACATTGAGAAGATATAATATTTATTTTGGAAACTATTTATACCATAAAAAAAAAGAATATAATGGTTTTTTGTTTTTAATGAAAAATGATATTCTAAGTAAAACAATTAAATTAAATTGTATTTTTTTCTAATAATTGAAGTAATTCAAATTTGAAATAAAAACGATTTATCCAACAAATACATTTACTATTTTAAAAAAAAATTGACACTGTGATAACGTATTTCACTTCAAATAAAGGTGTACTACCCCAATAGACATAAATTATCAAATTAAATTGGTAAAAGTCGGATAAAAAAATCGTCGTTGTTGACAATTGTTGAAAAAAAAAATCTTGACTACAATTTAGATTGGGCTTTTTATCATCTAACTTAAAATAACATAAACTATAAATAGTATTGCGAAACTATTAGTAACAAAATAAATAATACATTTCTATTCATATACGTTATTATATATTCAAATACAGTATTAGGATACTTTTTGTAAAATTCTTGTGTCATAGTTTTCTATCTTATGACTTTATTCAGTAACACTTGCAGTTCTAAGAAAGTCCGAATAAAATTTATCTTCTCAAAAATTTACAAATATGTGTACTGTGTTTCATAATCACTTTTCGAGGCATGCGCCATAAATATATCTAATAACGACAGTGTTCAGGGTGTTCACAAAGTAATGAAACTGGTAAATTATTACAAACAATGAGATCAATTGAAACCGTTACATTTCCTTACTAATCCCCTATAGATATAAATTAACAATACTTGTTTTAAATATATAGAGTATTAGTAAGTAAGGAAACAGATTTCTATTAGTCTTATTGTTAATAACAACTGAACTATTACCTTACTGAACACTCTCTGTATATATTACTATAGTTATAAATTTTCGGTAAGTTCTTAATATTACAATATACAAAAGCATTTAATTTAAACAAATGAATATATATGTTTTAGATTGCTTAATAATCATAAAAAGTTATCAAAATAAAAATTAATCGTTTCATAAAAATTATTGTCAAAACGATACTGTTGTAATACGTATCGCTATACTACTAAATAAATTGTAGATAGCCATGACATGATAAAATCTCAACCACAAATAACAAATAACTAAGTTTTTATCACCATTATAAAGATCATCTATATGATATTATATTTTTTGTTGGACGTTTACACTTTTGATGTTAATTGAATCGTTAAAACGATGGCTCATCGAGTTTTGGAATCTATCCAAAGTGTTGTCAAGTTTAATCACAATAGATTCTTATTATTCTTACTTTATTCCTAAATTTAATTTGCTTTCACTAGTTATCATTCAGGAATTTGGGATTTTTGAAATTTTTTATTAACTGTTTCATAAAGCTTAATATTTAAATTATTAAATTATTTTATCATCGTAATAAATTAAAATTAATTTATTGAGAATAATTTCAAGGTTGTAACAAACACAACATCTCTAAAAATATTGTTAAATTAAAAATAAATATGTTTAAGTCAGTAAAAAAAAAATATACAACGGATTTCAATTTTAAGTATAACTGTGTGGCTCAACTACTGGAATGACAAGTCGCCAAGTTAGGACTCGTCTTTGCTAGTCTCTATTTGATGTAGACAAATTAAAAGTAAACTAAAACTAAAATAAATCAAATTTAGAAATGTATAGACTGCATATGCGTTTTTGGTTTTATTGCTATTATTATAATATAAATATCTTATGTTAGTACGTCTTAACTCTAATGTAAAAATAATTAATGAGCATAATATTATCGTAAACTATGTTTACAATTATAATCTCAACTCTGAGTAGTCTGATTACTAGTGAGGAATGAGAGTGAAATTCTAATTCTAAAACGTAGTTAATTATTTGAATTATTTTTTGAATCAAAATAACTGTAAATATTATTTTAAAATAATATTCGCAATATTAAAAATTAATATGAATCATTTATATAAAAGTCATAAAGTTTTTTCAAACGTAAGTTTTAAAACACGGTGTTTACAGTTAAGAAAATTAATAACATTAAACATCATTAACTGCGTACTCTCTTTAAAAGTTTAGTTATCAAGTATTTCCATTTTATATTCAAATAATTATCACAATTTTATGCGCTAAGCGATTTTAACCATAATGTAGTATAATCTTTTTCGGTTAATTTGATTGTCTAGGGGCGATGTACAATTTGTTTGCAATTTAACAATGTACTTTGAACATTTTGTGGGTAAATGTCTTACAGCCCGGGGTGACAAATGCAGAGTGGAACATGAAATATTGGCGGTAACGAAGTACGAAACAAATCGGTTTTGTGAGGGAAAATAAAGTTAAGGTAGATTTTATGTAAATGTTTGTGTAAGAGTAATTGAAGTAATGACAGAACAATCGTTTGCCTGCGCACGTGATTTTTCTCATACACCTATTACACACTATTATCATACGATTATTGAATAATATTACATCGAAATTGTGTTGTAATCAAGAGGGGAGAAACTCAATGACTTTAAATTACTATGGCATACGAGGCGTATCTATCGAGACGATTCCTATAACGTAAATCTAAAAGTACATACATCATATCACAAATAATGCTAAAATACACAGGTCCGTTGTGCAAAACTCTGCTCCCGCAGAAAAAATGCAGATATTGCAAAAACAAGGGACACGTTCTAGAGAAATGTATCAAAAGAAGATAGGCAAACATAAATCGCGCGTAAGAAGGAAAAGAGGGACCAAGGCGCAAGTTCGGCCGGAAAACACCAAGACACCATAGTACAATTAAACGAATCTACAAGTGCACTGCCAAGTTAAAAAATGGTCATGTGCAAATTCTATGTCAGCAAACTATTCCGAATCTTCTACATCTTCTTTTAGACACAGGTAGTGATTTAAACCTTATCAAATTAAATTTTCTAAATCCTGAAGTACTAGTAAAGGAGAACGAATGTTTCAGTCTTACTGGTATAACCGATCATACTATTTCTAAATAATTCTACACTTGGTAAAAACGTACTAAGTAATCAAATGGAAAATCATGTAATAAATTCCAAATTCCATATTTTTCATCTTAATTTCCCTATAAAATGTGATGGTATTTTGGAAAACCCCTTTTTACAATATAATTATGCATATTAATAAAATATGTTAAATATCTTCACGCTCTGCATCTCTTATTTCTATTCGTGCACGTGATGTTGCTGAGACCACAGTGTTAGTCATTCATTCTCAAAACTTACATGAAAACTTATTGTGTGTTAATGTACTGAAAAAAGTAAAAAAAATCACGAAAATCGAATATCTGTTTTCAACTCATCTAGACGTTCAATTATACTTCCACCAGATCTCGCTCTGTCTCGACTTTCGTTCGACATATGGATCGAACCAAAGTCATGTTATATTGCAAATTCAAATTCTAATACTATTTCTGATAACAGTCTTCTCGCGAGAAGCTAATGATTAAGGCTACTCTAGAATTCTATTCAAACTGACCACTTAAATCCTGAGGAAAAAGCTTTGGTCGACACTATATGCCTTGAGTACTCCAATATTTTTCATTTAGATAGAGACACATTGACGTGCATGGACGCGATTTATCACGAAATAAATATGCCCCCAACCGTACAGCTAATCAATAAACGTCCATACCGTTTGTTTTTTCGTCACAAACAGGATATTAATAAACAAATTAAAGAACTCAAAGAACAAAATATTGTTACTCCCAGCAAGAGCCCATGAAACGCACCACTCTTAATAGTACTAAAGGAAATAGAGAGTAATGGTGTTGTAAAATATCGTGTCTGCGTTGATTTCAGAAAATTAAATCAAGTTTCTGCAGACGATGCACATCTTATTCCTAATATAGCTGATATTCTAGATCAATTAGGAAAATCCTTATATAATTCAACTCTGAATCTCGCGTAAGGCTATCATCAAGTAG